AGCCACACCCGGCTAGAACTGTAATTTTCAAATTCTTTTCCTGGAACACACAGTCTGTCCTCTGTTTGTAGGGCCAAAGATGCTCTGAGGTCCCTTTGATCCTTTGAATGGTAGGGGGGAGAGATGCCAGTTTCCTCTTAGAAGACAGAGCTTGAGTGAGAAGTTTTATTAAAAAGGGGAGGGAGGGGGAAGGAAAGAGAAAAGAGGACGGAAGAGAAGAGGGAGACAAGGAAAGTCCTGTCTGTCCCGGGGGAACAGCAGGAAAGAGAGCATTAAGTAGGCCGGGGTCTGTCTGTTGAAGGGGTCCTTTGCACCTGCATGCAGACTGGGAGTCATGGAACCCTGGGCTGACCAGGGTACTGCCTGAGTGCATTCTGCCAGGTGGCAGGGGCAGGCCAGAATACTGCCTGAATGCTTACAAAACTAATTAGAAATGTCTACCCAGGGTTCTCTTTTGAAAGGCTGCCCTCTGGTGGAAACTTGCTGAAGTTCTTTTCTTGCCCCCTTGTGCAGGAGCCCCAAAGCCCATAGTTACTCTATTTAACTTCGTTAAGCTAAGAACCCCAATTCTTTTTTTAAATGAAATATTTTTTCTTAATATTTATTTTTATTATATATTTAAATTAGAAACAAGCTTGCTTCACATGTCAGTCCCAGATCTCTCTTCTTCCCCCCACTCCTCCCCAACCTCCCCACCCCCCACCCAATTCCCACTCCCTTCCCCAGGGAGGGTATGACCCTCCTTGGGGGAATCTCTAGAGTCTGTCATTTCGTTCTGGGGAGGGCCCAGGCCCTCCCCCAAGTGTCCAGATTGAGAGATCATCCCTCATTGTGGGATGGGCACCCAAAGTCCATTTGTGTGCCAGGGATAAATACTGATCTACTACCCAAAAACCACATAGATTGCCTAGGTCTCCTCACTGACACCCACATTCAGGGAGTCTGGATCAGCCCCACGCTGGCCTCTTAGTCCTCAGCCTGGGGTCTGAGATCTTCCCCTTGTCAGGTCAGCTGTTTCTCTGGCTTTCACCAGCCCAGTCTTGACCACTTTGCTCATCACTCCTCCCTCTCTGTCACTGGGAAGAACCCCGATTCTATTTCACCATCTTTCCATACCTCTCTGATAACTAGGTTTGATATGAAACATTTTGACAATTGCTTCTGTGGCTTGGAGATTTTATACACAAAGCCACAACATTATTTGCTCTTCCCAAGATTTTCAAAAATCGACACCAATTTAACATTGTTTAATACAAGCCAAAAAAATCGACGACACAGGCTGTTGGGTACCCCGCAAGCCTCATGGCTGGGGAGGCAGGCGATCCACGGTAGGTAAAGGGTGAAACTCTCCGCAGGCACTGGGTCTAACCCACTACTGTCTCACCTCATGTTTTATTCTTACACATTTAGGCATAGTAAAACATTTGAAAAAGGTCCCCACACGGTAATTATCACAACAAAGCTTTGGGCATAGCTACACTGAACCTCCCTAGCTGGGTAAAAAAGCGACTGTGACCTTTACAATAAGAATGAGTTCTACTGGCTGATAAACGGAGCGCTGGGCAGGGCCTAGGGGAAGAATCTGTGAGAAGATGCTACTGGAGGATGCTAAGTCCTGGGACCTTCTTCGTAAGAGTGAGTGCTGTTCACTGAGTGGCACAGCCCAGGATTAAAGCCTAAACCGTTCTCAGGGTGGATTCAGAAGAGGGTTGGCTCCTAACAATAGCAAAGGGTCACAGGCTGTCTGGCCACAGCGCTTCAGCACTCCAGGTAGGCACCATTATTTCCTTCTGTTGAAGAAGACAGGCCTGTATGACCGACAGTCCTCATTTCTCCAGTGCTCACTCCAGACTGTGCTGCTACGCCAAGGATCTTAGCCAACCTTACGATTGAGAAATCAGGAAATTATCACATTTCACTATCCTTAAGGCAATCTCAGTTTTCAATTCCATGCAGGCTCGCAATCCTGCTGCCTCAGCCCCTCAAGCGGTGATATTGCAGGTGCATACCCCATGCTTTTGAAGAATCGGCAAGGCATGCATTCCTACTGGGGTTAAACCCACGACCTTACAGACGCTGGCCAAGCACCCTGTCGCTGGCATTCAGTCTATCTGAGAGCACAGTGGAAATGAATGGCTGACTTAGTAAGGAGCCTTTTCCGTAAGGGAGATGGCATCTCCAGCCTTGTGTCAACAGCTACTGCCAGGCAGGAACAATTGGGGGAGCCTGACCTCCGGGCTCCTGGAGGGTTTCAGCCTTAGCATACCTCAAGCCACCCCTAGTCCAAGTGATTCAGAGTTTCCATGCAGAGCCAGAAGCTAGGCATTGCACCCTTTCATAAGAAACGTCAGGTTACCCTCGCAACACAGATCGAGTCCAGTCCTTGCCTTTCAAATGAGGACCCGGGAGCCAGGGTTGCCTGACCAAGGCCACCACTGCAGTAGGTAGGGATACTGACTAGACTGTGAAATGTCGAAAGCCTCAAAACCGCTTTTGGGATTTTGTCTATTTAATAAGTCTGGCCTTGAACCCATGATCCTTCTCCAGAGTGCTGAGGTCACAGGGGTGCACCACTCTAGCTGACCTGGTTTTAGATTTCTGAGCCAGGTTTTCTGGGGTTCTCTGTTGTTTCAATAGGTCAGACCTAGAGGTGGGGAAAAAAGACCATTGTCCTCATAGGCACTTGTCTGAGTCCCCTCCCCCCACCCAGCCTTGCTGTTTTACTGTCTCCTAATTGAAAAGAGACCTCTCTTGGATATGCTACCCAAGTCTGGCCTCCATGAGCTGTGCCCCATTTCTTGTGTAATATAAAAGAACCAAAGATGGTTTTTGTGTTGATGGCACGTATACATACATGGCTGTTTACTTCAGTGCAAGCCAAGAGATCTAAACTCCAGTCAATGACAAACTCAAATGTTTGCACATCCTGTTGTTTTAAATATAGCCCAAATAATCAGGTGTTTGTCCACTACGAACCCCATCTGCTACCAAGATACAGATCCCATGAGACTCAGTATCTTTATGTTAAGGATTAAGCCCTACGAAAAATAGTTGTTTCCGCTTTGGAGTCCGAGTCAGAGATTCCGTGCTGTGTCTCTGAGAACGTTCCCTAGGCATGGAAACCCCTTTTCAACTCCTACCTACCCTGGGGATTCTTCTGCTCTCTTCCCTTTCTGTATGGGACCTCACTTCCATCAATCAGGCTTGGGCCCATCCTGGTGGTGAGGGACCACCTAGAAACCTGAAAGAACATAGCTCGCTAAAGCTCATGAGTGCTACCGCCACCTGGTGTTCATATCTTCTTTGCTCAACTCCTGGCTTTTCCCGGGTTTATGAGCTGGTCTGAGTGCAGATTTTGTTGGCTGATGTAATCCAGGAATTCCTAACGAGGTGTGGAGTGGCTAATTTTCTCCTCCTAAATATAGGCTCTGGAAAACAAAGCCCAAGCAAAGGCGTTATGGGTAAAACAAAGGGAGGGTGCTTTCTGAGTGCCAGGAACTCTGCTTTCTTAAATCAGATTCAGTCATTCTCTGTAACACTGAGAGTTGGCATTATATATGTATGAGACAGAAACCCTTGGATTTGTTGGGCACTAAAGCGTTCCCCTCAGAATTTAAGGAGCACCTGAGGTCTAAGTAAGGCAATAAGAGTGGAGGTTTCGGTGTGGTCATGAGCTGGAGGGTTGTGGAGAAAGAAGAAGGCTGAATTTTTAATCAAGCTAACCATGTTGGGAAGCGTGCCAGAGCTTATACACTGCATGGCAGCATTTTGGGAAAGCAGCACTTTTCTCTCCTCTCCTCTCCTCTCCTCTCCTCTCCTCTCCTCTCCTCTCCTCTCATCTCCTCTCCTCTCCTCTCCTCTCCCCTCCCCTCCCCTCCCCTCCCCTCCCTCCCCTCCCCTCCCCTCCCCTCCCCTCCCCTTCTCTCTCCTCCCCTTCCCTCCCCTCCCCTCTTGTCATCTCATCTCTTTCTCTCCCCTCCCCTCATCTCTTTCTCTCCCCTCCCCCCTCTCTCTCTCCTTCCTTCCTTCCTTCCTTCCTTCCTTCCTTCCTTCCTTCCTTCCTTCCTCCTTTCAAGACAAAGTTTCTCTGTGTAGCCCTGGCTGTCCTGGAACTCACTCTGTAGACCAGGCTGGTCTTGAACTCAGAGATTTGCCTGCCTCTGCCTGCAAATGCTGGGATTAAAGGCGTGTGCCTCCACAGCTGTCAGAAGCAGTGCTCTGCAAACTTTAGCCTGTGTGATTTACCTGGGGGTCTGGTTAAGGTGAGCGCCTAAGCCGGGAGCTTGCGTTTTATTCTCAAGTGCTGCAAATCACGGGTCATACTTGAAGCAAGGGAGCTTTGAAGTAGTCCTTGAGCACTGGCTCCTCCAGGACTGATGATGGCAACCACATTACTACTCAGCAGAGAAGGTGTTACAAAGGTTAAAGGTGGCAACTCATTCTGCATTAGCTTTCGTTTGCTGGGAGAGATGGGGAAACTGAACCCCTGAGAGTTTTAACTAGTTCACCCCGAGCACACATGGCGAACAGGAGATTAAAACATGACCACAGGTTCACAGGAGTGTTTGGTCTCCTCTTTGTTGATGATTAGCTTGTTAACTGATGTTTGCCCTGGAAGCGTTTGAGCTTTAGTAAGTTGAGCCAGTTTATTAAGACTCTCCCATTGTGTTGGGTGAAGCTGGGTGCTGCTCATTTGTCATCTTTGCCATTGTGGAGTACTGAGTTGGGTGCAGATCTGATACTTGTATGTTTTTTCACCCATGAGAGGTATTTGTGTTGTTTTAACTTGGGGGTTTCATGGTGGACAACAATACTCTATAACTTAAAGGCAAGAGTGTTTGGTGCCTTGTTACCCAGGAAGTGACAACCAATGAGGAAGAAGGTTTTCAGAGAGGAGACAACTCTTCTGTAGCCACAGAACTAGAAAGAACCCTTGACCTCCCCATTTCCCCAGAACCCTATGCCTTATGCCTGGGCACATGGTCACAGCCAACAAAGTAGACATTTTCAGTGTTTTATTGTAAAATACAGCTAAAGTCACAGGAAGGAGTAAGAAACTTTCCACCCAGCACATATAACACATAGTCATTGCCTGCCATGAGCCAAAGCAGTACACACACACACACACACACACACACACACACACACACACACACACACACACTGCTCCCTGCTCTCTGGAGCTCACAGAGGAAACAGAGGCCATAGCTACTTCCACACCAGTGTTCAAGGTTAGAAGTGCTAACATGGTCAAGAAATGATCAGGAGATTCATTTACCACAGCAGGAGGGGCCTGACAGACATTTTCACAGCAATGGTGGGGCACATCTGCAGGCAGCTGTGGGGGAGTTTGGAGTGGAGATGGTATTTGGGCTGGACAGAGGGATTCAGACTATTGAAATCCTCCTCCCCCCCCCAAAAAAAGAAATGAGAAAGAAAAAAAGGATTATAGGGATGAAATAGTCTACTAAATTTTAATTTTTCAGTTTAGGACTTCACGCAAAAAAGGAAAAGAGGAAAACCTATTATCTATTTCCCCATGTGTACCATCACTTCACAAATGTAGGAACATCACCTCCACAAGAAGGACTCTCCCCCACATGGAATAAGGCTGGCCTAATAAAATAACTATGAGATCCTTAATTTCTGCTTTCTGGATCCTTAGAAACTTCCCTGTGAGCTGGAAGCATAGTTGGTGGTAGGACACATACTTAGTATACATGAGGCCCTGGTGGGCTTCATTCCAAGCACCAAAAACCAAATGGACAGCAAGGAGAATAAAAAACCTTCTCCACAGACCAGCAGAAGTCTATAAAACAGGGTAAGGGAGCCACTTCAGGGGTGTGGTCAAGCGAGTTGATTGGTCTGGGCTGTGGACCTGCAGAACAAGGGAAGAAAAGGAAGGTATGGGGAGAAGAAGACACCTAGGCCAAGCAAGTGGTCTAGAATTCACTCAAAGGGCAGAGGCAATGAGAAAGGGTTTTCAGCAAGGGCCTGCCATGATCCAATTTGAAAGATCATTCTGGAAGCATCATGGGGACTGGGTCAGCCAACAGGGTGAAGGCAGAAATATGTTATCAGGGCTCTTCTACCCCCTGCTACTGTACACCCTGCAAAAGTTGATCTTCAGACCCAGTGATGGCCAGAGTGGAGAGGCAGTTGACGGAGTCATTGATGGCCTGGGAATGGGGGAAGGCCTGGGGAGTACTATTGGTCCTCTTGGAAGTAGAACTTCGTGACTGTAAGGGACTCTTCAGGTTTATTGGTGAGGCTGACAGGCCGGTCAGCCTCTAGTGCTGTGCAGAGGAACCAGCCTGGACAGGCGGCTGACTCAAAGCTGGTGGTGGGGCCTTCTTCTGAGCGGATGAAGGTGAAGCGTTTGTCTTGTTCCTTGTTCTTGCTCAGATCGGTGATGTTAATTTCCTGGAAGTCAGGAAGTAATCATGTGATTTCTGGGAGCCCAGAGGTCCTGATTATCTATCTTTATACCTCTTGTAAGGCTGTTCCCCTCTGATGGTAGAGACATGATCTCTCAGAAATCTGACCAAATAATACAGGCTCCAGATTCTTAAGATAGAACACACAGAAAGGGTTGTCCTGCTATCATCTCTTGCACTGAAAATTATGCTACTGTAGCCATGGGACAGTAAGTCTAGCAAATGCATGGCCCCATAAGCAGAGACTAAGGCCAGAGGGGCAGTGATTGGCCAGGACCTGATTCTTTCAAGGCAAGAGGGCTGTAAAGAAAAGGTAGAGTGTCTCAAAGCCTATATGATGTGTTGTATAAAATAACCTGGCCATCCGTATTATATTCAGACTAGATAGTCACTCTTCTCTGCCCACCCCCAAAGGTGGCCCTGTCCATTGGTTAGTGTTAGTTACAAACTCAAGGTTGTAGCTACTTGCACTTGGGTTAAAACTAGTAGCATATATAATGATTGGAAGTACATGGTCTTGCTTAAAGAAGGTAGGTGCAAGTGGGTTAGGGGCCCCAGCACAAGACTCATGGGTGATTGTGTCATAGAGGTGGTCCTCCATGAAAAATGTTTCCTCCTAGAGTGAGTTTAAATCCTTGTGCCTGTGTGGCGCCTTTCTACAATGAGTCCATAATTTTGCCAATAGACAGACTCATGTAAGTCCAAGTTTAATAAGCACTTTCACACTGAGGCCCATCTTTCCAGAATAATCTCTCATAGAAGTTGGCCATCATGCTACAAGGAAGCGTAGAATATCTACAGCTTGAGTTATGGAAATGATGGCTTAGCGGATGAGAAACCGCTTTGGGAGGACATCCAATAACAACCAAGAACATTGTGGAAATTACTTCAGGAGTGACCCCAGAATACTACTCTCTGAGGAACAAAGTGCTACCCTCATCCACACACACACTCAGAGTTATGAAAACCACCCAGGGTTGTTAGAAGCCATTGGGTTTTGTAATGCTTTGATAGATAACCAGATTCTTACCTCCAACTGGAGCTTGATATTATCTCCAGACTTGACACAGGACAGGCACAGCTTCCCCCCATGGATCCCCAAGAACACATTGTGAAGGTCAGTGGTCACCATGTCTATCTTTTCTGGAGAAGAGCAGAAGGTGGGGTCAGAAAGAGAGAAGAGGAGGCAGGGCGAGGAAGAGCCTGCGGGCATTTCCTGCCTCCTCTTTTAACTAGAATTTTGAGGTCAGAAGGTCAGGAAGGATCTATCTTTCTGGTCTGCATCCACACCAGAAATCCAACCCAACACTCTACCTAGTTATCCCTAAGGACCAGCCTCCCAGACTCTGCTCCACACTGTTCCCAACCTTCTCTACTTTCTCCAGGAAGCCTGTCTTCCTGGTCAATAGACATGCTGTTAGTAGACAGACCACAAAGCTCACAAGGCCCATGAGTAGGCCTCCAGGAAGCCTGTGGGCTTGCAGGCCAACTTTCTCACCTCCTATGAGGTAGCAGTAGCAAACCCAGCCTCCCTATCCTTGAGCAAGTTCATGGGAGAACTGCTAAATTGCTAGAAAGACAGGAAAAGCCAGTCTTATAACTGCTGAATAAGACAGGAAAGCAGAGAAAGGGCTTGGGGAATAATGAGGAGATACAGGCAATGCCTCTCTCGAAAACAGAGATGTGAAAACTTTTCTTGGGGGGGGGTTCAAGACAGGGTTTCTCTGTGGCTTTAGAGGCTGTCCTGGAACTCATTATTGTAGACCAGGCTGGTCTCGAACTCACAGAGATCTGCATGCCTCTGCCTCCTGAGTGCTGGCCTAGAGTGAGGCTAGGGTTTGAATGACACAGGAACACAGGTGATCTACCAATACAGAAGGACCAAGGACGTGAAGCTGTGACCCCTCTAGCTGTGTCCCTGGGACATTGTGACCTAGGCTCTACCTTTCCCCACTCTTCAGGCTACTCCCATGTGTACCCTCTGGTGGTCATGTCTCTCATTTCAAACTCTACAGAAATGAGGACATCCCACCTACAGCCGGAGGAGCAGGGTAAAGTGACCCCACGTCCATATTACGTTAGCTTCCTTGTTAACCACTCACCTTCTAATTTGGTATTTGATCCTTGTAAGTAGCCGGCAATGAGTTGGTTGTTCCTCAGGTAGAAAGTCTTCTGGTTAATATCCCAGATTCTGAAAAGCAAAATGGCCTAGCTGTAGTAGGCAGTGCAGCACTATGTCCTACTTTCTCAGCATCATCTAGTGTACTTCTAGATCTGCTGGAAGTGTGGTCCTTAGAGAGTTCATAATGCAGATGAGAAGATGCATGCCAATACTACACAAGAGATGGGTTCATCGCTTACAGCTGGTGAACAGAAAACCTCTTCTTCTTGCTCCTCACCCCAGAATCCCAGCATAGACGCCTGGTGCTTCAGCAGAATTTTCTTTAGAGCATCCCTATCTGGCAGAATCTTAGGCAATGCAAACACATCCTATATTCATCCTACTCAATAGGGGAGCTGCTAGCTACACATAGACTTTCTTCTGTTTTCAGGCATTTATGTGTAACTTAGATGGCCACTTGAAACTGGTGCTTAGTCACAGTATTGTAAGTTCAAAGGTTAGAATACATCACAACCAAGATACTCCGAGTCTTAGGCCTGGAAGTCTGGAACTAGAACCTTTCCTTCTCTTGCCAATCACCTGCTCTGGCTCTGGCAAGGACAGCTGTCCCTGGGAGCAGGTCAGCTTCCTCTCTAGCTCACCCAGTAGCCTGGTGGTCACTCCCTGTCTTCTTGGTGAAGGGCTCCCTGGCTGTGAGAAAGGCAGCTGTGAGATGTGGTAATAGTGCCCTGTTGACATCACCTTGAATCTATACATTATCTCTTTACCTGTCAGGGGACTCCTTTGGGTAGCTTGGGGCAGCCCAGGAGCTCAGGGCAGGGCCAAGGACAAATCAAGTCCTCTCCATATGAAGGGGTATTTACACCTTTTCTCCTATGGTGAGCTTCAAACTGAAGGGACACAATAACCTTGCTAAAAGGACTCTAGCAACTTCTCTTGGGGCTGCTAAGAGGTTGTCCCTGGATCTGTGGGACAGACTATCCTTGGGATGGATGCATGTACTCCTATCCAGAGACCCAGCCTCCAGCTGTGGGTCCAGAGCAGACAGGGTCAAAGGGGAAGTGACTCAACACAGACTTCATTCTCAGGGAGGGTCAAGGACAGATTGCATGCGCCAACAATCTCTTTATTTATTTTTTCAATCAAAATAAAGGGCTGTCATTTTTACGATACGGTGGATAACATCTCCTAAGTCTCATGACCCAATTTTTAAACTTAAGTCTTTTTTTTTTCAGGCACTTTGCAGTTCTCACAACATAGGTCTCAGAACATGGTTACCTTATCAGTTAATTTCACAACCCCGTTAGGTACACAAGGGGTATATCTTAAACCAGTATCATGTTACAGATAAGGACTTCAACGAGACATATCTTCCAAGTCAACACAGACACAGCGTGTGTATAGACTGTTGGTCTGAGCCTTTGACTGTGTCCAACTGCAGCATTCCTCTTTGCTAGAATCCCAAAGCTAGCATCATTCCTGGGTGCCTTCTCTTTTACCACTTACTGGTATCTGGGAAAGTGAGTGCAGTTGACTGCCACCATGCATGGAACATTTTAAAAACATATTCCTTAAAGGCCGTGTATGCATCAAACTGTTCCTGAATGAAGTATCTATATCCTTTTCCATCCTGTCCCTCAGATCCAGTGCCCTGTACACATGCCATGTGTCTTTATGTAACCCCGTGTCTTCGGAAGACTTACCTGAAGGCTTGCATCTTGCAGGGTCTTCTCCCAGGAGGGCGGCAGGTTGCCTCTGAATGAAACAGAAGGAAGAGAAGGAGAGAGATTAGGTGACTGTACCGTCCCCTGCAGATTTCCATCCTGAGTCCGCAGCAAGGCAGCAGAGACTACAGACTGCCATTTCCAGCTCAGGGTGGTTGCTTATAAAGAAAGTAGTCATTCACCGGCCCGCGGTGCTGTCATCTCGTCCCACTGTCAGAAGCGGAAAAACCCTCATATTTCCAAAAAGAGAAACCCTTGCTGTTGTCACTTTCAACCCTGCTGAGTGTCGCAATAGTGTGTTGTAACTGATCTCCTCCCCCTTTTGCCCTTTGCAATTTCCCCAAAATTGAGCTCTCCATTTCCCCTTCATGGTGTTCCTGGGAAGGAGAGGACGATGAAAACCAGACGCTCTCATTTGCATGACAGGTATCCTGAGCCTGTTTGCTGATTTTTCCCTCCCACAAAACAGATGTGTGCAGAAATGTCCCCTTTTCATCGGAAGGCAAGTGATAGGGCCTGGTGGACAAAGGACAGTCTCACGTCACTGTTACTGTGTTCTTTGGAGAAGGGACAGTTGGCCAGACTCTGGATAAACATTATGTTCAGAACCGGATAGTAAATATTTGGTGTTTTGTGGATCATCCAAGCTCCACGCGACGTTCAGCTCAGCTGCCGTGGTGCAGAAGCACCTACAAACAATATGTAAGCCAGAAAATTCAACTCTGCTCTAACACAGCGTATTTATAAAACACAGGACTGGTCACGTGTTGCCCACAAGTTTGCTGATCCCTGCTCTAGAGAAGGGAGTCCCTCCCAAGGGGTGCTTGAAAATCAGCCATCTTCCCCAGCCCCAGGTCTGGAAAGTTGGGAGCCTTTGAGAAGTGATTTCCTTCCTGAATCGTGGCCTGGGAAAGGTGGATGAATCATGCAAACAACAACAGATCCAGGTTCCTTCTCTGTCACTTGTCACTGCCGTCCATGTGACCTGAAAAAGTCACTTCATTTATTTATGTCTCTGTCTCTTCAATCCCAGAGTGAGGAGGACTGAGTCTTCCTTGAAGGTAGAAGGAAAGAAGGAAGCTAAGTCTTGGCCCCAAGTGGACATTAATAAGCATTAAGTTCCTTTCATGCAATTTTCTAGACAGGTGGTGGGAAGGTACGGAGCTTCCTGCTTTACATTATGAAAGGTGAAGAGCTGTTTTATGCTCCCCCGGGGGACAGTGCTATCACAGGAATGCAGCTGTAGGGTTTTCAGAACTGGATCGGAGCATAGTGTTCGCTTTATCTCCGCCTCCCACAAAGACACTCAGAAAGATTAGTAGAAGGAAGGGTCATAGAGCTTGCTAATGGCAAGGGACCAGAAACCCAGGTCTTGTGACCAGGTTGTCCTACATCACCCATTGATCTTGATGCATTTGACCTTCTTTTTTTTTTTTCCAAGCTAGGGTTTCTCAGCGTATCCCTGGCTGTCCTGGAACTTGCTCTGTAGACCAGGCTGAAGGAGGTGCATGGGTATGAACTTGTCTAGTTATTTACAACTTCCAGAAACTGCTGAATTAATTAAGCTTTGAAGTTTCTGGAAGGTTTATTAGTCATCAGGTGCTTAATGCTGTCATACCTGCTGAAAGAGGGAAGTAGCTGGTACCCAACTATCATAAGCTCCATCATGCTTGTCTTACAGTATTTCTGAAGCTGCCCGGGACTCTTATATTAGTTATTTATTTATCTGTACAAATGCTGCATCTTACATATTAACACAATTCACATTAAGACTCAGAAGCAGGCAATAGGTTGCCAGTTGCCAGAGGCAGTAGATGGATGATAGGGAATGAATAAGGAGTGAACTATGCAGATGGAATGCCTCTGCTGTAAAGCAGGATTCCTAGGAGAGCAGAGATGGCTTTGTTCAACTGTCATCAGTCACTCCAGTAACGATAGTCTGTCTGGCCTTGGGCAAACAATTTCAGGAAGGAGAGACTGCAGGAGCAACAACACGTAGGCTACTACAGCTGGAACAATTTCCTCATTCCCAGCTCCTCAAACCCCCCCCCCGTGAAGGGTACAACACCTTTTCCTCCTGGTAGATCCCTATTTCCTGAGGGAGAGAGGCTGCCCCCTGTACTAACAACACAGTAGCATCAGTTGAAGGTCAGGTACCTCTCTCCCTTCTATCTCTACGCTGCTCCAGAAATCTAACATACGCCAAGTTGACGAGAGGAGTGAACTCTGGGTATCCGTGGGTCGTATGGTAACAGCAGTGGTACTTACTACTCGTGGAAACGTGCTGAGAGTGGTTGCTAAGCAGCCTCACTGTCTCTTCCCCTTCAATGGAAAGGAAAGGAGAAGGAAAATGAGAGAGACAGAAGGAGAAAACGAGGGAAGAAGAAGGAAGGGGAGAGAGAGGGATAAGTAGGCGAGGAGGTAGATATGTTAATTAGCCTGACTGTGGTGACAATTATGCATTCATAGGAAAACAAAAATAACACAAGAAATGCAAGACAATTTAACCCCAACTGAGGCACAAATACTTGGATACCATTGTTCTGTAAATATGGTTATATTTACGAACGCTGTGATTTTTATATGTAGTATACAAGAATGCCATTAAACTGTAAATATTTTGTCTGTGTTTTACTTTGTAATTTGCTTTTTTTCCCCATTCCATTTTCAGGCTTTTACAGATCTTTTTTATTTCCCCCAAGCTTTTGGCAGCTACTAATATAACAACCAATGAAAAACTAGGGACTTCTTAACGAAAATAAATGTCCCAAATAGCCAACTTTTAGCAAACTGGTGAAACTTCGTTAAAACAACAAATCAGTGTTGTCTCAAACATCCTTGAAGATCGAGGAAGACAAATACTTTCCAAGTTGTGTGGAGGAGCTATGTGCTAGCCTCTGCCCTCAGACAGTGGTTCAAGTAAAATCGCACCCAAATCACAGCTGCTGGGTAAATGTTTCTCTGATTTCGGCCCAGATTCAAACAGAAGGAGATTAGTTCTAGAGATCTGAAACATTAGGCTCCCAGACTTCCCTGGCCCGCGCGGTCTTTCCTGGACCACGCCCACTTCCACCAAAGGCCTGCAGTCCATCCTATCCGAGTGTGCAGAGAAGGAGCCCCTGGGAAGACCCCGAGTCTCAATCCTCTCACACAGTCTGAGCTGTGCTATCCCAGACGAGGTGCGAAGACACTCTAGGTCTCAGTTTCATTATCCATGAACCAATTTTAATAACGGAAGCCACGTCGTGGATCGCTATGGGAATGAAATAAAGACTCTCACATGATGTACTTTTACCCTGACTCTGGCACGTGGGGATTACTCAAACAGTAATGATTGCACACATTTCTCTACCTCAAATAAAATGGGAGAGATGAGTCACAGTGCCTACTACCCCTACAACCCTATCCCACAAGTGCAAGCATGTACAAGCCCTCCTCTCCCTGTTACTCATCCAGGCCCCTTTCCTTCCGTACTGAATGAAGCTCCTGGGTTTCCAGTGGTGATTCTGAGCACATCTCCCCACTAGAGGGGGAAAAAGAGGAAGGAAAAAGTTCTTTTTCTTTCCTCACCTCCTAGTCTCAATTCCACTCAGTTGTTTTCTCATGGTGTTATTGTTGGTGGTCTTGGCAATTCTGCTCACCGTCTACCTAGCCTTGTTCTCAATTCTGGGGGCTCAGCCCAAAGTCCATTTCCTGAGCAAAGCTTAAGGATGTCAACACAAACAGAGCCTAGTGACTTCCCTCTGAGCTCTAGCTCTGGCTGAGCCTTGTGCTACTAGACACTGGTGACAACAGCTTCAAAGGGCTCTGTAGAGGCAGGGAGATAGAAAACCCAAGCTCTCCACATGTTGGGAGTGACAACAGACAGTGAAAGGCAGCTTAAAGGACAGAGCAGGGTATAAACGAAAGTGTCCCCCACATGGACCAGGTCCTTAGGAATCCTTTGCATCAGGTTGCAAGGAAGGACCACCTTCGCAAATGTCTTACCCTGAGTCCCGTGATATATTAATCACAGCACTGGCCACATGGGAAGTCTCTGATAACTCTTCGCTGCTTCTCAACTTCAGTTGATGATGTTTCTCGGTTCTAGAATCACCACTTGATACCCCTTTTGTAGAGTTTATAGCTCTCTATGGAATTTTATCCTGTCTTCCAAACCTTTGGAAATATTATACCTGGGCCTATGTATTTGAGTGTGTGTGTGTGTGTGTGTGTGTGTGTGAGAGAGAGAGAGAGAGAGAGAGAGAGAGAGATGGAGAGAGAGAGAGAGAGAGAGAGATGGAGAGAGAGATGGAGAGAGAGAGAGATAGAGAGGGGGGAGAGAAGGTTGATGTTGGGTGTCTTCCTCCATCTCTCTGCGTTAGTTTTTATGACGCATGATCTCTCACTGAATGCATTTAGCTACAGAGACCCTCCTCCTGCCTCTACCTACCCAGTGCTATTACAAGCTCACAAGGAGATACCCAGTTTTAACATGGGTAGGGGGGCCCTGAACTCAGTTCTTCATGCTGGTGCAGCAAGCATTGTACCAACTGAGCCACCTTCCCATCCCTGCATGGGCCTTTTAAAGGCTGCCCCTGGTAACTCCATTATTTGAATCTCTCCTAGATTTTCTCCTATTTTCCATTTTCTTTTTTCTTTTTCTTTTTTTTTTTTTTTGGTTTTTCGAGACAGGGTTTCTCTGTGGCTTTGGAGGCTGTCCTGGAACTCACTTTGTAGACCAGGCTGGCCTCGAACTCACAGAGATCCACCTGCCTCTGCCTCCCAAGTGCTGGGATTAAAGGCGTGCGCCACCAACGCCCGGCTTCCATTTTCTTTAATGCACAAACTGCCTTGCATGTATATTTGGTTTAAGTACTCCCAGAATGCTGTTAGTGAGATATGGTAGACCCAGCACAGGCCAGAGATCCTTAGGCCACTGGAGGTTTACTCTCAGAGGGAATTTCTCTGCCTTTTTCTTGTTCTTTCCATCCTGGCTGATGAGGTGAGTGCTCTACAGTATTGATATCTGGCACACTCACAAAAAAATGGCCAGGCGGTGGTGGTGCATGCCTTTAATCCCAGCACTCAGGAGGCAGAGGCAGAGGCAGAGGCAGAGGCAGGCAGATCTCTGTGAGTTAGAGACCAGCCTGGTCTACCAAGCGAGTTCCAGGATGGCTTCCAAAACAAT